CCCTGGATACTGACGGCTTAAGATAACCACGATACCTGCTAGGTTCCGTCCGAACCTTTTCAATCGGCATCTAATGGATTTCACTCCCGGTGATTTTAATGGATAGAAAATCGAATTATCAAACTGAAAATAACTTCTAAATCTTGATGTAAGGAATGCTAGAACTTCTGATTTTACGCATGGAAACTAAGACGTACGTTCCTCTCGGAAGACTGAGAAAGGCACCATGGGAGCAAGCTAGGAGGGAAGCAGTTGACCCATTTAGAAAGGATTAAGGCGCAAGGGACTGTGGGAAGAATTTCAACGGTTACTTGAACCTTTACCAATTAGTAATTAATTTGTCGTAAACACATTCTTATCTCCTTTCAAATTTAGTCAGTAATACTTAAGAATAATTCATGCTTGGCGATAATCTTATAAATATTTTATTATAATGGATGTGCCAGTTGAAATTGGGCGGCCTAACAAATTGGAGAGACTTCATTGACGATTCTTCAACGTGTGAACTGTGAGTTTATCTTATAATATAATAACTACATGTACATACTATAATAACTAACTGTATGTATAACACTATCTTATAAGATTTATATCCCTTATAATGGCCCGAAACATCATGCTAAAAGAATGGAGGAGAGGATATAATGCTCCAAGCCAACTAAAAATCCCCCCCCCCCCACAATCAGCTTAACCCCATCGGGAATCTCTGGGAAGAAATGAAGAGAAGCAACTTCAACTGGCTGAAGTTGTCAAAAAAGTATAGGAAAATCTTGGTTCGTTGAAACTATAGTACAATTATTTAATCTTAAATTGTCCTGTAATAGCAGTATAAAAATGATGCATGTACTTATGATTGATGCAGTGTGTTATAATTGATCACTACCTATCACCATCTTCATATGTAGGGTTATGCTGAAAGGTGTCGTTATAACAAAAATAACATTTGTCAGAAATTGAGCATAAGAATATCATACTCGGATGAACTATGCATGTATATCAAGAATAGACAGACAAGAATGACAAAATGGCTGAAATTCATTGAAAAGTAATACATACTACCCAATTATCGGTAATTAATATTTTAAAAATCTGCAGAAATCTTCACAAAACAATTCAAGAAAGTTTTGGTGATAAGATGTTCTTTAGAAGTCATTTGGAGCAAAAAACAACTTTTTGGGCTGTGCCAAGGTTTGGTGGTTTATTCCATCATCAGGCCTTGTTTATTAAAAAACCAAATTAACCCAATTATAGAGTAACTTAGTATTTGTGTTAATTTGGTTTTTTATTTGGCCCTGATGATGGTGGAATGAACCACCGAAAGCTCGGCATAGCCCAAAAAGTTGTTTTTGCTTCATATGACTTCTAAAGAACATCTTATCACGCAAAATTAACTTGCTGCAGGTCGATAAACATCCAAAACAATTCAAGAAAGTTGAAATTTGAGCCACTTCTTTGAACAAGCAATGTTTATAACAAAGTTTTTTCTTTACTTCTGAATAACATTGCCCTAGTTAATATGAGTTTGAGTTGAGGTGTAAGTTGTATTCAAATTTTTTTAAAACTTGTTTTTAGAAACAATTTTGTAACAATATTTGTAAAATCACAATTTTAGCACATTGAACAAAACTTCTTACAATAATTTTTGTTTAAAAGAATTAAACTTCTCACTCTTCCACTTCTATAACGTAATTTATAGGCTTTTGTAAAACTGCATGAAGTTAAAAATAAAGGTACAAACATCAAAGAACAAAATCGGTAATACTTTGTGTGTTTGTAATCAGAAAAATGAATTCCTATTGTGGATTAATGAATTAAAAGTTCTTTTGGGATACAGCAGTGGCCAAGTAGTTAGGGTGTTGTTCGACTTGTATTTGTCATGTTAATTATGGTGTATTAATGTTTTTGGGTTCGATTCCTGGTTTACATTCACTCATCTAAAACATAATTATTCATGGTTTAACGGTTAAATAGACAAATTGATAGTTAAGTGTTTCTGGTTATTAGCCTATCATACATAAAGATAAGGTTCATCTTCCCACCTATAAATCCACTGACGGTAAAGAAATGGTCTTCCAGGTCAGACATGCGTCTAAGAAATTAGTTCGGTGATAAAGTGTTTCAGTAAGGGGTGTCGCAGTCCTCAACGGTTTAGACATTGGCACGGCGATCCCACTGTAAGATAAAGGTCTAAGATTCGAATCCAGTGGCCCTGCATTCAAACCCAACATACTTACCAATTCCCCCCCTCAAAAACCGGCACACCGAGGATTGATGACCTCTGCTGGGGGAAAAAGAATCAACTTACTATGACATGTTAAGTTTAATTCTTAAATTATCTTTATAGTTTAAAACTTTGCATAATTAAAATACACACCACAAAAGAATTGAATAATAGTAAAGTATTCCTACTGCTGGGGGACCTTGGTAGCCAAGAGGTTAGGGACTGATTTATATTTCCAAGCTAGTGGTTCTGGATTTGATCCCATGATTTTGTAATTGATTGTAATATAAAATATGTATTGTAAAGTAGTTTGACCCCTCGTCCGCAACACCCAACAGATAGTTGAACATTAAGCCCACCTGTCAGACAGGAATTACTTTACTTACTTATTTAGTTAAAAGATTGGAACCTAAAAAATTGCTGTTTTACGAAGGATTGTATGGTTTTCTCAAGTAATAGGCACACATAAATATATACCACAAAATATATAGTTCTTGAGCAATTTATGATTTTTAGAACTAAAAGGGGTCAATATTTTCTTGTTTTGATCATTGTTAATTGCTTTATTAATTGTTTCTTAATGTTTATGATTCTTTATTCTGAGGTGCCTTCTACAACATAAAACACACAACTTGAACTCCTACATAGAGGATTAATATTTACTTTATGTATATTATAGCACATATCTCTTTCGTAACTCTGTGGCAAGAGATATTGCCCTCAAAGAGGTAGAGCAGCCTTAATTAAACTAGTTTAAGGGGTGGTGTCCCTGGATTACAGTCTGCTTTATTTCTCAGCAATCAATCTTCTCTTCATACAGGGGAGGATCGTTGGCACACTGGTTTGTTGGTCTTGCAGGTCCCTGCAAGCTCTCCTTTTGGTGATAAAACTCCTTCGACTTGTTGCCTGATCTCATAGTGAACTGTCTAATTAATTGTAAGTTTAAACAGTTAACTTCTTGACTAACTATTCACAGATTTGCTCTTACTTCTATCCAGCTTCTCTACTGACTCTCAACTACCTTTCCCAGTGCAGGCCACAACCTTATGTTGAAAACCTTGGATGGTGTGGCCTTATTAAAGGCTATGAACCCTGGGTGGGGGGGATGTCGGTGGCCGCAACGGTTTAGGCATTGACACGGCGCTCATCACTGTAAGGTAAAGGTCCCAGGTTCAAATCCAGTGGCCGTGCATTCGAACCCGATATTCTTCAAAAACACCAGCACCCCGAGGGTTGATATAACCCCTGCTGTTGTGAACCCTCGTTAAAAAAAACCTGTGCGCTTGCTGACGAGGCTGTAATGACCTCAGATGACAAGGCCTCTGAGAGATGTGACAATATACAAATTCAAACAATGTTTGTAGGCCCTAACAGCATATTAGGTTCAAGCAACTCCTTTAAAATAACATTTCAAAGCATTTCATCTGATAGGCTTTGGCTTAGAGTCATCTTCAGTAAGGTAAAATGCATTTAACAGACCATACAGCAAGTATAGGATTTTATTGGAAATTAACCCAACTACAAGTTATCACCCCCACAAACAATCTAAAGGGAAAGCTCAGTTTTCTTGTGAAAAGTTTATTATTATTATTTCATTTATTTTTTTTCTTTTGTTTCTGTTCACATAATAGATAATAAAAACAGGATTAAGTTTTATAAATTGAACCATTGTAATTAAGCTTTGCCTTTCTTCTGGCACTCGGTAAGAGGTATCATCACTGATGTGGTCAGAATTCAACAGAAATAATAAATAAAACCAAAATTTATTCATAATAACTTTATTTTCCTTTTTGTTGATTAATAAAGCATGGAGTTTATTAAAAATACATTCATAAAAAGCTCATTATACCTAGTGATAATATACAATTGGGAATAAGGCAATATTTTCAAAGGCAGTAAAGCGTAAATTCTGAATGAAATCACTAATGACCATCTAATAAAGCTAACAAACAATAACAATGTACAAAAAGTAAGACAAATTTGCTACAACAAGTGTTACATTTCAGATTAAGGCAGCGAAAGCAGACATCTTTTGCATCATCACATTTGTGTGTCTCCATGAAATTAATGAGCAATTGTGGTGGACTAAAATTATGTACATTGTAAAAAATATAATTGAACATAGAATAGTGTTTAAAACGATTTGTAACTAGGAACGACCAAAGATCTTATTTTTATACACCTTACACTAAACATTTTTTTTTTTTTAATTTCAAGGTGTAAAATCAACATTAAAATAATATTCTAACTCATTTTTAAAAAATAATAAGTAAACATATTATTAAAAAGCAAATAGTTATGATCAAATGAAAATAAAACTTCTAGTTGAATAGTAGGTTAATTTAATTTAATTTTTTAATTTTTTTTTATTTGCCCCCCTAGGTGAGATCATATATTTTCCAACTTTATTATTTATCTCTAGGCAGTGACCATAATTTTCTTTATTCAAAGTTTGTATTACAAATGTCCAAGTGCGATGAAAGCAGCTAATTTTTATTACATTAAACTAAAAAATTTATTATCATCAGTCACAATTTTTAGCTTGAATTACAAAAAGCCAGACTAATTTTGGTTTATAAATTTGGTGAAAACTAGTTTACAGGAATAAACAGAGAAAAAACTTGTGAGAAAAAATAACAAGAAATAATAATTTAGTAGATTTAAAACACCACTTAAAAATTGAGTATTGCGGGGAAAAAAGTACTTTTTCACACTGAAAAAATTAGGTTTTAATAATTACCCTACAATCATTTGGTTTTAATAATTATGCACTGCACAATGAAAAAAAAAACAAATATATATTTACTGAAAAAATCAAAAGGTAGTACGCATGGGAGGAGGGGGCTCTGAACACATCCTGTGTTCTATTATTTTACAGCTGCTGAAATTAACAATAAACTGCAAGAGTATTATACAGTAACATAAATCGAAGATATAAATAAATTTGATTTTTAAGCAGATGATGAGATTTCTTGATCACATTGGGATATGCGTTCTTTGTTCTGACGAACCATCTCAGCTCGCTTCTCCTGCAACATGGTAACACAGAAGTTAGGCACGAGAATTTTTCTTAGTGGAATATGACTTGGCTATATTTCATACATAGGGAAACAAAATACACTAAATCTCATAAAACAAAATATTTTTTAACAGTAAATCCTCCTGACAAACTGGTTTTAGAAAGTATGGGGTCATAAAATAAGTTTGTAGGATTTTTTAATGGTAAATTCAATGAATATTGCAGGTACTCGTAAACAAATTGAATCAACAATATGAACTAATATGTTCCTAACTTCTATGTAATTTTGAAAGTCTGTCCTCCCAAAACTTCTGTTTGTTTAATGATGAGCTCGTTTTTTCAATCATCAAGTGAATAATTTTTTTCCATTATTAGAATTTTTCAGAGCCCAGAATAAGTGAAAATCAGAAGGAGCAGTGTGAATTCACTGGGTAGGGTTAGTTGCTCATCCCAGCCAAGCCCCAACCTCCTGATGTGACTGCAAGGGGCTAGTAGTATCCTGATGGCAATTATCTCCTTATAACTATCCAATGCTGGTCTTTTTAGCCAATCACTGACTTTAATCAATCCGAATGTACAGTTTATACGAGAATTAACTGTTTGGTTGGGCAGAAGAAGCAGCCCCTTCCAATTCCACCTAGTTAACAATCGCTGTTTTCTCCAGGATTTTCCTCTATGGATAACATAGTAAAGGACCCACGTTTTTAAGACTAGGCATGCACATGCAATTTTTAGATAACGAATCTAACAGTTTCACAACTAAAAGTTGTATGTGTGCACCTAAATCCATTGCCTCTAAAAACAGGGGGTGTAATACAACTATTGAAAAATGCTACAGACTTACATTTCACTCAACACATAAACAAATGTAATAATTGCTTTATTACCAACAATGCTCACTTTACAGCATAGCTTAGCAAATTATAACAAAATGAATGAAGTTGGTTAATTCATTAGTGAAATTTGCTGTACGTAAAAGCAATTTATGAATAGCACCATGCATAATAATCACTATGATACTCACTCATTGAAGGTAGTGTCAACTTGTATTTATACTCAATACAAAATAATAATAATAATAATATAGGAATAAAATAATAAAATAAAAGTCAAAGGACAAAAATTGAATGGAAAATTATAGAGAAATTGATAACTTAAGAAATGTTTAAGCTAATTAAGATATTTTACTAAATGAAGTTATTAAATCAATAAAAAATCCTGATAATTGAAAAAGAAAACAAATAGGATGTACATACATTTTTCCTCACAACTTCCAACTTTTTCTCAATTTCTTTCTCCCTTTTGCTCTCTGCAGATTCAAGTTTGCATTGCAACTCTTTAATCCTTTCGCCATTCTGTTTTTCGATTGATTCGAGGGTGCTCTTGATTTCATTGAGTTTCAAATCATTCTGACAATAAAAACAAAATAAAAAAGTGCGCAAGCTGGCCAAAATAAAATTGAACTACAAAGATGCTTTGATTACGAGCAAGTTAATTGTCGTGTTTATGGAAAAATGTATCGTGTGTACATACATATTTTATCATGTGTGTACTGAGTTTTGTAATAGTTTAGAAATGAATACAACATAACTTAAAAAATGGTAAATATTAAAAAATGGTAAATATTTTTTCTCAGATTGTCTTGAGAAAAAATATATAAGCATTGATTAATTTAATTTTTCATTTTATTTCACTATTTATTACATTTAATTATGTAAATACCGTATACATTAAATTATTACTTAAATTATTAAATTGAATTATTACACTACACCGAAAAATGGTGTGCCAAAGTGGATTTAATCTTTTTCCTGTACAGTGTTGATTTTATGTAAAAAAATAACATAAAATATTAAGTGATAGTGTGCTCCTGACACTAATTTCGTGGAACTAAAGCTGTTGTGTTTTGTAGTTCATGATAAAATAATAATTCATTTAAGAAAAATCAGCAAGAATATTTCTATAAATTCTACTCACGAGTTGGCGAAGTTTTTCTCTTTGTTCAATTTCCAGCCTTACTTTCCTTTCATTTGCCGATTCCATTTTGTTTTGAAGTTGAGCTTCCAGAGCTGTGATTTTTTCTTGCCAGGACGTACGAACTTTTTTAACTTGTTCTTCCTATTTTAAGCAATAAAAAAAATATATCTACATAGTTTTTATTTTGGTGTCCATAGCAGATGGTATCCAAAGCTCTATTTATAGAAATTCCTTTTGCTTTTTGTTTGAACTTACATGCTCTTTCAATCGATGTAGCATTTTCTTGAGGTTCTCATCACGTTGAGTTGCAGCCGTCTTTAACTTCTGCTCTACAGCAGTTCGGACTTCCTGAGTCTGTTGCTCCAAAAGTTGCCTACTCTTCTCAACTCCTTCCAACTATTTACAAACACGCAGTGCATATTCAACAAGTGTGAATTTAGTCATTTAAAAAATATAACTAACAAAAGGAAAGGCTAAATAACAATTATACATACAAAGATAATGTACATATTAATGTATTTTACAAGAAACTTTTTTAAATATGTAAACATAACTTGTGATCAATTTCTAACATTTACTTCTGTATACAAACCATATACATTTATATAATTTGTTCTATTACTTACATGGTCCTTGAGTTTAGCTTTGATGTCGGTCAAATACGCCTCACGCTTTTCCGTGTGGAGTTCCATCTTCTGCTCTAGAGCTTCTTTGGTCTGATTAATGAAGACAGAATTTTGTTCGTCTTTCTTTTTGGAAGCCTCTTCTATCTTGGAAAGTTTGGCAGCAAATTTGGCCATTTTATTTGCCTCCAGTGACTGTAATTCAGATTTGGCTGTATCAACGCACTCTTCATTATCCATGAATTACAAGAATTAGCAAAATAAATATGAATACTAAGAATTAAAAATATATAAACATTCAAATTAAAGAACTAATTTTTTATGTAGATATATAAACAAATATTGATATGAAAAAAAAGTGGGGAAAAACATAAGGTAATTTAATCAGATGTTACTGTTTGAAAACTTACCATCCTCCTTTCTTCTGCAGCCTTCAGTTTTTCTTCAATTTCTTCTGCAGATGTTGCTGCACTTTTAGGGGAAGAAGGCCGCTTGGGTGGCGTGCCAGCTGGGTCGGCAATAATTACATCGAACTTCAAACCACCCTTGGACTCTTCCTTACATCTAATTTCAGTTGCTGTAATGATTTCAGTAGTATTATAGAAATACAAAAACCATCATAAAAGTATTCTAGTATTATCGTATTTTTGGAATAAAAAGAAAAGTTGCTAAATAAGTAGTGGGCATGCACATAAAATTATTATAAACATAAATGTATAACTAATGTTAACATTTAAAAATATTTAAATAGTTTGGACGGATTTAGGTCTGGAAACTCTTTAAAAAAGCAAATAAAACAACATTGTGCAGATAATGTCACAATAATAATAATATAACTTCCGCTAGATGTGAAGCTAATTAAGCTTAAACCACAATGCAAATTATATGAGCATGATGATGAGCTATGGTGAGGGAAAATTTTTTCAAAATTTTTGGTAGCATTTATTTTGAAAATATATTAAGTGTATTATACAAAAAGAAAATTAGTAAAAAGAAATTTGTTGGACACACATAAAATATTCAACAACAAAATGAAATATCAAAAGCTTTTATTTTTGTACTGATTAACTGACAGGACATCATAAATTTAGGATATCTCATTTTACTGATATAATATTGGTTTTAACCATGAATTATAAATTATCTTTTAAAGAATATTTTAGCAAAACACTGTTTGAAGAATCGTAATATAATATAATGAACAACAAATTTATTTATTGTGAGATTTCTAAAGGGGGGTAGTCAAAACATGTGTAACAGATCAAAACAGCGAGGATAGGTACACCAATATAATCGGAAACCATAAAACTTAAAATATACACTCTCAACACGACACGCAAGGATGGCACAATTACACAGAAGACAAACACTTTGAGCCCTGAAGATGATCTCAATAAAAGATCGAAACGTTGGCACGATAAAGAAAATGTTTTTCTGAAACCTACATCACACCCGACCGCATCTCACGATATCTGAATAACTTAAAATATACATATACTGAAATTTGGAGGAAAAAAAGCTGTTCTGCAAATCACAAAACTATGAAAGTTGGCTACTTCCATGAAAGATATCTTGGCAATACGTATATATTATATACGTAATGTGTGTTTAACTAATTAGTGTAATTATATCAAAAAGTATGACTGTACACAATCTGATTTTTAGCTATGACCTAAGAAAATCACCTTGATTATGTTTCTGCTTCATAGGTTAAATTACAAATTGTGTTATGTCCATTTATTTTCCTTTGTGCACACATAATTTTTAATTTTCAAGTTTTAATTGTTTATGATTTTATTATTCTGATTGGTGGATATAAATAAATTATAAAAAGTTTGTTTTTACTATCTTCTTATTATAAAGTTACAAAACAAGACAGCAGACATCCTTGGTGAAACAAGAGCCTCGGAACAAGCCATAGGCCTAAATCCATTTTGTGGCAAAGTTATACCCACATTACAAAATATCTGCAATCTTGTGTTACACTAAATAACACATGAGGCAAGCAAAAAGACAATGCAACAACAAAAACCTAATGGAAGAAGAAAATCCTACTAAACAAAAAGTAACTAAAAACTCTAACAGCCATATTTATGGGACATGCTCTAGTAAAATACCACTTAAAAATGAGACTATTAACTATTGATCAATGTTGATTATATCTAGAAGAGACAAAACAACTGAACATACCTGTCCTCTAATAGACCTAGGAAAAAACATTCTTGAGCAGTGTAGACCTTCGTGAGAAGATTTCTATACGTCATTAAAGGAATGAAAATCTTACAGGAAAACCATTAGCAAAACTTGGGCCCAATAGACAAAAAGAATCATATGTTGTGCAAAAGAGGTCAATCTTTAGGATTCCAAAAGGGAAAAAGAAACTTTTTTTAGTTTAATCCAATCAATCAAATGAACCAAATTCTGCTTAAACAAACTTTTGACATTTTTTTAAGCTACAACACAATGCAAAAAAAAAACATTATTTTAGAAGATGCAATCATGTTTAAAAATTGTGCAATAATTCCTTAAAGTTAAAAATAAATTTACATCAAATTAACAAATAAAGAGGCTGTAAATTGGGTGGTGTACAAGCCAATGAGTAGAACGCATTTTTTTTTTTTTTAATTCATGCCATTCATATCCAAATCATCACTTGTCAACAGCATTTTGATTTTTTCAGTTCCCCCCCCCCAATAAAAAATTCACGTCAATTATGTAATATATTTTAGTTAAATTATGACTAGCCTGAAGTCCCCTTAAAGCCAGTGTTAAAATTTATATTTTAAAAAAGTTTATATTTATTTAACGATATTTAATTTTTTAAATCACAACAGCGGTGTTGATCTTTCTCTTTTAATCACTCAACCAAATTCATTGGCTACAGTCTTTAAAAAATTTGAGATAAATGACTTTTTCATAGAAAAAATACGACAAATAATTGAAAATGGCAGCATTTTTGAGGCCCTCATAAAAATACAATTATAAATAAATGTAATATTGCACGGATTATATCAATAAGCCGATGTTACGACCAAATATTTTCCCCCTAGAGATACTGGTTGAACAAGGGTGACCAACGTTAGATTTAGCGATGTTCGCGAGCGTCTGCATGAAAAAAAAAATTCAGGATATTTTAGGCAGTGTAGGGGAGCGTACAAAGGTTTAGTGCAGGCAGGAAACCAAGATTTAAATGTGATTAAGATTTGTTTCTAACTAAGATTTGTTTCTAACTTCAAAAATATTCAAAAACGTGCATTAAACGCCTAGAGGTACGAATCTAGAACGCGTTATTCTTAAGGTAAAAATCAAACGATTGAAAATAGTACGACATTAGTAATTGAACAGGCAGCCTGTATGAAGCAAAAGGTTAATCCAAATATAGCCGGGGAAAAGAGATTTCCACAAATTTAAGGGGGCGAATCAAAGGGTGGATTGATTGAAGAAAAGGGGTGAGTCAGAGAGCGGCGCGGCGCCAGTTCGACTAGACTTCGCCAATACGACCCCACGAGTACACTTCGGTTTCGGAAATTTCCTATGCTCAGTAGAAATTTACTTTTTCATACAATTTTTAGCCTTTCCAATCACTCGATATTCGATTTTAACTGATTTAAATGTTCAAAATTTAAGAAACGAAAGAATTCAGGTGCTTCACAAAACACGATAGTTCAAATTTGAAATTACTACAAAACGTCTTGCTGTATGTCACAGTGCAAATTAAAAAATTTGCGGCAAAACTAATTGTTAAGTACAATTAGAATAATTTACTTTTGGAAAACCCATTAGAAAAATATATTAAACAGTACCTTCTCTAAGCAAATTTACTCTCATAACTCTTGAGATATCTCAACAACAAACAAATTTTTTCAGACAGTATCTTTATGTATAATTTCAATTGTTCTTTTTCGCTAGGGTCTTGGTTGAGAAGAAAAGAAATAATGACTATTGTCAATTATGGCCGCTAAACATGTATGGTTTATGTATAATGCGAACGTCCGAAACGCCGATCAAAATTACGGCCGAACCGCTTCTACGGATTTTCATTCTTGATGGCTTAAACGAAGCTTAAAAGCCCTGACTTCAAATTTATTCGGAAAATTGTCAAAAGTATAAACTATTAATCCTTAGAACGAGAAATAAGTAAAACGTTAAGTATATAAGGTGGGGACTAGCGCCGCAATGAAAACTTAATTCATCCGTTGAGTGTCCCACCTAACAGTCACTGTTGCAGTATGTGTCAGTTGCTGACACAAGGAAAGAAATTTTAGGAGTTGGACCTTACTAAAATACAAACAGATTCACAGATTCATATCCGATTTGTTGCCACATGAGGGTGAGGTTCCGTCATACGGTCATTTCTATTTTATAGACTCCTCTAAAGCGTTGTACACGGTGCTCATTCCTGTAATGTAATTATTCGGGAATGTAAATCGGGAAAAAATAAAAGAAAAAGTGATTATCTCGCCCAGGTATTGACATTTTGTTGATAACTATGAAGTATGAGATATCACCATACAAAATTCCCTTGTAAACAAATAACTAGTTGAGTTTTTAAACTTTTAATTTGAAGAAAAAAGTTTCAAAATTAAGGCGATTTGTGAAAAAATAGATAACGATTGGAAAAAATAATTTTTCTATAGCCATTTAAATAAATTTATTAAAAACTGCTCCACGGCATTTTCTTAATAAATATCGCACTGTATTTGTCATGTGATGAAGAACGACTAATCAATTGTTTTAAATAAGTGAATTTTCTATTCTTACCTGTTACTTCAATAAAATTTTAAAAAAATCCTCTTAAAAAAATCCGCCTCATTTTTCCTTGAAACGATTGTACTTGGTCATATTATTAAACTATAATCGTCAATCGGCCTCCGATACATTGATTAGTTTTACTGCCTTGACCGCGGATTCCGTGCTAGCCTTCGGTGCATTTTTGTGTCGACTGTGAATATTTTATTGCTCCATCTTGAATGATTTACAAATCGATAAAGTTTTCAACGAAATTCAGCCAAATGTGCAGTCAAAAAAGTTTAGGACGAAATCGATTAGCCGTCCCCGACTCTAAGCCGTAGTGCAAAAGCGGGTCAGCGAACTCTATATGTATTGAGGCTTAATCCCGAAAGAAAATATTATTTGTGAAGCAACTGTCATAAAATGTCCATCAAAAACATCTTTCCGATTAAACTGATGCTGAAAGAACTTAAGCGTGAAGGAGATTAATCTATTAAGGAGATTAATTTAAATGCAATTTCACATGTTGAAAAAAATTCAACTTTTCTATTATTAATCATTAACAAATTTGCTAAAATAAGAAATATTAGTAACAATAGTCACTGGTGTAATGTTCATGACTGAAAGTAAGTAAACTTCAATGCAAGCTCTACGTCTCCTAAGAGACACCTATGTTAACTTGTATAAATCCTGAGGACCACTCTATATTTTTCGCTTCTTATATTTTTTTAACTTCGTTTGATGACGTCACGTTTGACATTCGAGATTTAGTGATAAAGCCGAAAAAATTGTATTTTCACATGGAAGTTATGGTACCGTCTTCCAGAATCCACAGCATCTGAGTCA